TCTAGCACCTAATTTCGTGTAAAAGTCTTGAAATGTGTGTGCAGTTACATAGGGGGTTTGTAGCTATCTGGATGTTGTCTACACGGCCCGGTGGAAGTCTGGGAGCCTGAAGGAGGAAAGTGTGAAGGACAATTTTATGAGAGTCCGGTTTTGATTTATAGCCACTAAAATGACAGAGATTTTAAATCCAGATCAACTCCAAAGATTAGTACTCAACTTGCAATTAGTATTTATTCACGTAAAGCTCTCAATGACTTCAGGGGGAGTTTTGCTGAGGCAATTTAGTATTCGCCCTATTTGTTTGTTAGATTTCAGCAGTCAAGGAACTTCATGTGAGGAATTACTATGCTTACAGAAACTTTTATTAGGCGTATCCAGATCCCTGAGATCAGAATCTACTCTTTCATCAGTGCTGAGCGCAGTTCAGTGACCAGCTTAATTTGGTCTGCCTTTCTGCATTAGGCCTGAAAGGGGAAGGTATAGCTCAGTATTGGAGACCGATGGATCAAACCAAGCAGAGTGGTGGGGAGGCCATGCTGTCTTAAAGAGGTCAAGGAGTCACTGGCAAATGAGCATTTGGGTCAAAATAGAGGAGGCAAAATCTTTCCGTGGCAAACAAAATGTTTATGTGAGGATCCCAGGCTTGAAGGCCACAAGGTGAACATAAGTCTGGGCTGGGTGGTGGACTGATTAAAACAACCAAAACTACATACTTAGTTAAAGAACGTGAATCTGCTGTTTTGTTTAGGATGAAGGAAAATGGGTTAACTGCCATTTAAAATGGCTGTCACTACATGAAATCACTCTTCATTGAAATAGGCCAAGTCTCTCTTTCTCCCTATAGAAAAGAAATGCTCCTCAGATTCCAGAACAAAATACTCCACTTCAAGACTATTTACTCTTTCAAAAGTATTTTCTCAAATGACTTCCCATGCTCCCTTCTGCTCCATCATTCTTGGGAGCTGAGTTGTTTCTGCTCAAACTCAGCTTGCATAGTACTATATAGTTTAAAATCTTGCTTTGCAAAGATCCACGGTTTCTGGAGATTATATATCACAAATGTTGAAATAAACCCTGAAGTTGTCAGATTCTAAAGACCCAGTTTGCAAAGATATTTACTTACATGTGCTCTCAAATAAAGGAGAGATGAGGAATCTGTACTGAAATGTGAGAATAGCTTTATATGAGACCTTACAAATACATACATTATTTACTTTTTACCATCTTGCATCAGGTCTCCAACTGAGGTTGAAGTCTATTGTGCTAAATGTTGTATGAGCAACTGGTATAAGAGATTCTTTCCTCAACAGTCCATATTACCCAGAAAATAGTACCAAACTAGAAGACATTAATGTTAGTTTATGAAAATGACTTACGCACATGAATGCAGAGAGTGGATCCAGATCTCCAGAGTAGCTGGCCATTTTCTTATGAGGAGACCATTTTTCTTTTCTGTAGTGTTCTTTACCTCTTTCCATGTTTCCTTAAAGAGTATATGCATCACAGATGCAAACAGGAGCCATTTGGCCAATGTGTAGTATGCAAAGCCAAAAATGTTTTGGTTTTATATGTGTAGATACAAAACCTAAATTCAAACAATGTCTGTAATTGTGTGTAAACAAGTAGGCTGAGACTATTTAGAAAGAATTTTCTTTGTGCTCACGCAAGAGATGCAACTGGTGCTTGCAGAAATAAAGAGAAACGCTTCAGTGGTTTCAGAGATTCCAGACTGGAAGAGCATTTCCATTATACGGGATGCTAATGAGCAAACATTAAGCTCCTCTACCTGAACAAACTGTTACATGTTTCAGAGAGAGACATTGGAATCAAATTTCTTACTGCTCTTACCCGAAGTCCCACAACGCTTTGTGGCTTCTTCTTTAAGATCCTGATCAGGACTCTAAGGGATGAATTTAAGTGGGGAGGAGGACTCCTTCCATTAAGTTTTGGAAGCTGAGTTAGTGACTGTGAATGCAAGTTTGATTACTAAAGCTTGTACTTCACTACCATCTCTGAATAGTCTGGAACAAATGCAGTTACAGAGATGTTGGTCCTTTTTCACTGCTATAGATATGAGTGTGTGTGTGCAGTTTTCATAGTATATTTCTCTGTAATGTCTAACATACCATATTTTAAAAGAGGTGAAAAGTTGCATCTTAGAACATTTATGAAGAACAGTCATGTTGAATGTTTGTTCTATTGATGATCTGTGGGCCTGTTGTCTTTGACTTAGGTAATATTGACCAGTTTAGATTTAATGGAGTTTGAATAAGGCCACTTTTGCTTTTTTTTAAAAGCTAGTTCAGATTTTGTGGAAAAGAAGGTAGAAAAGAGCATGTGTGGAAAAGAAGGTAGGAGGTGTGCAGCCCACTAACGCTCTCATCAACCTTTTGAGAAATCCAGCCTTGAGTTTCACTCTCTTAAAAATATTGGACTAAGAAAGGAATTCGATTGAAAAATCCACACAGACACTCTTGAAACACTTTCTGCTGAGCAGTGTACCTGACTTAAAGCTTTCCTGCTACACACTTGCACAAGTATTTCTTTAGGTGATATTGAAACACCATTTCTTTTGATAGTTCTGAAGAGATAGGATGGATGATGATATGACTGGAGTAGTCCAACTGCAAGAACTTCAACAAGATCTTTAGACAAGAGATTGTTCTTAAACCCATAGTCATAGTCATACAGTCTGTGAGCTCACTGGAGAGACCCTGGCACTAAAAATATGGAATAGGCACAAGCCAGTGGATCAAGCTTCTGATCTCTTCTACTCCTGGTGCATAGCTTTACTTCAAATTCTTGGCACTCTAGAGTGCCAAAAATGGTCTGTCCAGGAATTCATTTTTAATATTATATCGCCTTCACGTTTTGTAGAAAAATAACATAGACACTGTCACACTGGGACAGACCACTGACTTGGTGGGTATCTGTTTTGTTGGCATTAGCTAACACCTGGTACACCAGTTGAAGATGAAATGGAAAACTGTGCATAAAGAACAGAAGGCTAACTGGAGAAAGAGGAGCAGGGACAGAAAGAAAAAGACAGAGGAAAAAACATGTGTGCATATAAATTCTTTTTTCACACCTGCAGGCTATCAGCTTACATCTTACAGCACAAAGCTTTGTTACCCTCATCAAAATGTTTCGTTGCATAGCTAAGATACAATGCAATACTTTTGAATGCTTGTATAATGGTGCAGTCTGCCAACCAGCATGTATGTCTTTGTAACCTTCCGCAGCTATCAGGTCGTAATGAGCACTTCTAGGCTCCCTGCAATTTCCTTATGTCAAAGTAGCGTGCAAAAAAATGGAAGTTTTATTACTACATGTGGCCAGATCCTTTCGTGGACTAATGCCATTTCTTTCAGCTGAGTTACACAAGGAATAAATTGCCAAAGAAAAGGATGATTTGGAGAGATGGGTTATTTTTATATTATTTGTTTAAAGTACTTCTTGCCTTTTTGTTTTTATTTCACTCTAGCTTTTGGAAAGTCCAGGAAGGAGAAGGGGCAGATCAAGAATCAGAACAGCTGTAAACACACAGGGCTGAGCAGCTTCTCCGCCAAGCAGGCTGCATTTGGCAGAGCCCCATTTTCAGCACTAACAGGTGTCTCCGCAAATGTCCTGCACTGAGTGCAAAAATTGTGTATGGCATATGGTTGAGAGTTTGACCCAGGCTGAAACTGCCAGAAGACAAGATGAGAGGGCCATAATCAAGCAGAGAAACTCAAGGATAAACTTCTGAACTACTGTACAGATTTGGGAAAGAAACTGAATAAGGTCTAAATTCGACTGTATTTGAATGAGTTCCTTGATTTCCGTTAGCATGGTCCTACATGACAGCCGGGTGTGACTGAGGAGAAAAATCAGGCTCTGATTACCAAGTTGTCACAGGATGATGATGAATTTTGGATACAGATAGTAATAAGTTGCTGTGCAACAAAATGCATAACCAATTCTCTCCATGTTGTCTCTGGTAAAGGTGACCTTTACAAGGTATTGCCTTTGTCAGCCAGACGACAGACATTACAGTCAGCTGGAATTGTATGACTAAACACTGGAGTCAGTTTCTAAGCCTTTAATTATTTTAAATTATATGAAAATGAGATGAAATAGCATTTTTATTTGATATAAAATAACAGCAAGTCTCATTTGGCACTTTTCACCCCCTCCCTCCCAAACCCCACATTTAGAAGCCTTCTTTTCAGCCTAAACTTGTTTATGGCTGATCTTTTCTTATGATAGTGTTGTCGTTCAGCATTAGGAATTCAGAGAGCTGGACTTGCTTCTTAAGTCTGCCACAGATTTTCTGCATAATTTACAGCAAATCATTTTAACTTCCTGTGCCTCAATTCTCTGTGTAGGTGAAGGGGCTAATGTCAGCTCCTACCTCACTAAGATGCTGTGAGGATAAATGGACTGGTGATGATAAGGCATTAAGTAATGCGATGTACTGGGTCTCGTGACAGCAGGTATTTCCTGAGCACGGCACAATGTAGCCTCTCTCCTGCTCTGAGATGCCTTATGCTAGATATGACCAAGCAATGTCATCTGATATTACAGTACAGAGCTGGAGAGTGCTACATTACCAGTGCTCTGTTGTGGTGACAAGAAAGCCGAGTGAGCTTCACTGAGCAACTTTTATATTCAGAGACTAAAACTTAACTAGTCTGCAACTGAGTTGCAGGGTTGTGATCGTCAGCGTGAAGTCCGTCTGGAGGCCAGTCACTAGTAATGTCCCCCGGGGTCAATACTGGGCACCGTGCTGTTTATTATCTTTGTTAGTGATGGGAAGGAATGCACCCTCAAGTGCATTCTGCATCTGCAATTTTGCAGTGCATCTGCAAGTTTGCAGATGATATAAAACTGGAGGAGTGGCTGATACACCGAATGGTTGCACTGCCTTTCAGAGGAACCTTGACAGGCTTGGGAGACGGGCAGAGAGGAAGTTCAATAAATGGAAGTGCAAAATCCTGCATCTGGGGAGGCATAACCCCATGCACCAGTACAGGCTGGATAGCAGCTTTGCCGAGAAGGACCGGAGGGTCCTGGCGGACAACGACCTGAACATGAGCCAGCAATGCACCCTCGTGGCACAGACAGCTAATGGTATCCCGGACTGCTTTAGGAGGAGCATTGCCAGCAGGCTGAGGGAGGTGATTCTTCCCCTCTGCTCAGCACTGGTGCAGCCACATCTGGAGTGCTGGGTCCAGTGCTGGGCTCCCCAGTATGAGAGAGACATGGACCTGCTGGATCGAGCCCAGCAAAGGGCCACAAAGATGATTTAAAGGTCTGGAGCATCTGACATACGAGGAGAGGCTGACAGAGAAGAGGCCTGGAGAAGAGAAGGCTTGAGGGCATCTCACCCACGTGTATAAATATCTGAAGGAAGGGTGTCAAGAGGACAGGGCCAGACTCTTCTCAGGGTTGCCCAGTGACAGGACAAGACGCAATGGGCACAAACTGAAACACAGGAAATGCTATCTGAACATAAGAAGACAGCTCACTGTGAGAGAGTGGTTGGACACTGAAACAGGTTGTCCAGAGAGGTTGTGGGTTCTGCATCCCTGGAGATATTCAGAACCCACCTGGACATGGTCCTGGGCAGCCTGCTCTAGGTGATCCTGCTTGAGCAGGTGGTTGAACTAGATGATCCCCAGAGGTCCCTTCCAAACCCAACTATTCTGTGATTCTGTGACCTGCAGGCCTAAAATGAAAAACAGTGCATTGCTGAGGTATCTCCACTGGAGAACACTGAGAATGCTGTAGGAATGAATTTGGCCCTTGGCTTGAAATTGTAGTATCTCCAGTGTATTTACATTTACCTTAGTTAATGCCTCCTGAAGGGTGCTTGTTTCTGACTAATGTGTCCTCAGTGAGCCTCTATCCTTAGTGAAATAAAATAAACCACAAGTGCTGTAACCTGGGCAACATTTCATCAAAGTTGTAACATCACATTTTCCTTCCCTAAAGCAGCACTGTTTAGTTATATGCAGCCCACTATTTCATGTTTCTTTGTTTTCCTTCCTTTCTTTATTGAAAATAAAGCAGAAAATTATACTGCAAACTCTATGTTCTCCCTTATGTATTAATGTAATAGCTAGTGAGAGACATGATACCCCAAAGCATATGAAAAAAGTGAACTAGAAGGAGCCAGTTTGTGGTGTTTCCTTGCTCTGTGCTTTGCCTTAATGGGAAGAGGTAGCTGGAAAATAACATTCATTTTCGACTAAACAGTAAGCCTCCTTCAAATTATATCTTAACAAAAAAGAGAACATCTTGGGTAGTCTTTGATTTGGATGAACTGCATTTTAAGTGTGTCCTAATTATAGTGCTCATCACTTAACATTAATTTAATGAACATCCTCATTTATAAGGACAAGTTTGGCAAATAGAAATTAATGCCTTTAAAGCCCACAAATCTCCCAAAGGAAAAAAAATCAAAAGATCTGTGAAGAATATGTAACCTTGTTATTCATAACAAGGCAAAATACAAAATCACCCCTGACAGGCTTTTCCAAGTGGCTCAGGGACCTGTAACATATGCAGTTTCAAAAGCTGGTATGAGCTGCCAGCAGACGGTGATGCAAGTTGCTGTTCTCAGCCCAGTAGCTGACTGGCAGGTGTCTGCACACAGGAATCGCTGTCATGGTGGGCACTAATTGGTAGCCTCAGCTAGCGACAAATGCAAAATGGAAACAGCACCCAAGGTGGTTCTGGTAGGTCAAGATAGAGGAAAAAATGTGCTTTTTCTGTGGACAAAGGCTTTTTACTTCGAGGTCTGTCAATCCAGCACCTTGTCAGAGCACTAAAACTATCTTTTGCCCATGCAGGATAGCTGATTTGTTGCTTCTCTGAATTATGATGGTTGCGTTTTGGGGTACTGTAGTATTCAACTGTTTTTTCATTCGTGTCTAGTGGGGCTTCTCTTTTTAAGATTCCTTTGGGAGCCTGGCAGAGCCTGAACGAGCGATGGCAAATAGCCCACTGGCAAATGTAGCGTAAGAGGCCAGGTGTTCTTACTGCTCCATGCAGAAGTCTGCTGAACTGTAGCTGTTGATGTAGAACTTGTTTTGAGTAATGTTTAGTTTAAGGATCCAATTTTGCTTGGCACTGATGTGGTCTCAGTTGTCTGGATCCAGTGTTAAGACCAGGACTTACCTAATCAACTCAGGAAGTTATGATAGTGGTTTTTAGAGGCCCAAAGATAAGGACTGAAGGAAGACATAGTCGTTTTTCTGGTGGTTCTGGTAAAGTGTTTATAATGCCTATTTCTGCTTTTATCATTTAGTTGTATGCTCATATCAGCTGCTTAATTTTAAGAAACGCAAGCTGTCAGTTTGTATCCTGAGGCACTGATTTCAATATACGTGAAATTTGGGTGCTCCGCTTACTCCTTAAAAACCCCTTTTTGTCCTGAACCATGTTCTACTGAAGTTACAGGAAATCACGTGACAGCCATAACAGTTATTTATGAGCCAGAGTGGAATAAGGGTAGAGGATGATGAAAATAAAGGGGTAGCATAGACCTATACACATCCCTGCAACACTCACAAATCCTTCTATTATAGAAGGCTTAGGGTGTGGTATGGATCACAGCCTGCTCTTTATGTGGACTTTACTGATGTGTAGTTGGATACCACTATAGCTGTGCGTTATGCCTAGTCCAGCTTGGTTAAAGTATTGTATTGCAGACTCATTTTTCTCCCTAAATATGATGATGATCTGCAATATTTAGCCCGTTCTTATAGACTGAGCAAAGCGAGGAGAATTTCCATCATCACCACCATCCAAATCCCACTGCACAGTTATCTAAAGGGTGGAGAGCACAGCTGAGCTTTACACAAAGACATAAGCCCTTTCGAGGGTTATGCCTCATACAAGTGCAACTGAGTAGAAAAATGCTGTGATTTAAGGCTTAGGTTATGCAAAGTTTCTTACGGAACCTTCTAACTTCTGTTTGAAATCAACCACGAGTACATTCGGAAGGACTGCTTGAGCTTGGGACTGAGACAATATCAGTCAATAACTGATTTATCTGATGCTTTATCCTTGGATCTCATCCATCTTCCACTTTTACTGTGTCAGTCTCAGTACCCCCAGATAGCTGGCTAGCTTGCAGGTTCCAAGCTGAAAATTGTGTAATCAGCCAATCACATGATCAGCTTGAATCCTTTAATACAGGAGACAGTTACAGTGTGCAGCGGTATAGTTTTAAGGTGTGAGCCTAAATTTTTTTATCTTTCTGAAATAAACAAACATAGGTTTTAATTCACCAGAAATCTAAGTTGGAGGCAGCTTTTCTAAAAATTGCCATTACCATCTAGATTTTGTCGGGCAACGCTCAGACTTAGAGACAATTCCAAAAAGAGAACAAAAATGTAGATCATTGTTTACCTTTCACTTCTGCATGGCTTTGGGGCATCTTCCAGCCGTTGTACATCTAGAACAGCAGGTACTTCCCACAGGTAGCTCTTGTGAGCATAAGCATTTTGCGGCATTTTTTTCTTATTTTTCATGCATGAAATAGAGTTTGTTTTCAGTTGGAAAGGAACTTGATAAGATATTTGATCAACAAGGGTTTTTTTTTTTTACATTTGTGGCTAAACTTATTTTCAAATTAGGTCCAACTGACAGAACTGGGATAATGCAGCACAGCTGTTTCTTTGTTCTTAATTTGATGTCAATGAGGAGGGGTTAGTCGGCCCAGTGGTATGACACCGTAGTGTTAAGATACGTGTGGTTGCATATGCCCAAGACGGTTACAAGCAGCGCAGTCAGAGGCACGGGTTGCTTTGCTGCGCAGTTGCCGAAGCCATTTGTCCTGGTGCCTACTGCGTGTCCCTTCTCCTGCCCTCTCCGCCCTGCTGCCGCTGTGGACTCCTGCTCTGCTGGTGCCTCCTGCCTCCCCTCTCCCCTGGCACGCTCCGCTCGTTGCCCGGTGTGCTGGTACATCGGCACACTTTTCGTAACCCCTGGGGTATGCATGTTAATGCAGCTGCTGGGAGCAGCTGGGCAGGGAACCTCTTCATATAGATGAACCTTCTCTATTTAATTGTCTCCGTTTCTGTCGTTCTTAAATGTATTAGAATATTTTTGCTTTGGCTGTGTCTTGGTTTACAGAGCAGCTACTGATAAGATTGTGGAAAATTCTCAGCTTCCAACGGCAAACCTCCTTAGGGATTAGGTTATATTTTAAGGCCCTTTATTTTTTTTTACCCTCTCTGCAGACAAAATGGCAAAAGTCTTCATTTTTGTTTGGGTTTATCTTTGCTCCTGATGAAAAGACATACCTTCTCTTGTCACCCAGCCCTAAGTATAAGCTCATTAGAGATAATGAGTGGTTGTGTTACTAGTGTTTACAATCTTACTGACTAAAAATGAGAGATTAATCAATTAATCTTTTATCTTTTGCCTCTAAGTCTTGTCAGCAGTTCAACTCAGTAAATATTGGAGTGAATGTGAGTTGGAACTGGCCCTGGATGAGTCACAGTAAGCAGCTGAATGTGTCTATCATCTACATAGATGATCAGGTTTTTACACTGCTTTCAAATCCTGTAGCCTCTGAGCATCTCCCAGATAAAATCAAGAGCAATTCTGAGGTAGACTTCATAGACACTTTTTAGGGTCAAAACTGTGGTTGTAGGAAAAATCTTTTGTTTCTGTCTACATATGTTTATATACATGTGGCTATGTTTGTGTCCCAGTAGGTCTCTTCTTTTTTGTTTGTCTTTTTTGTTTCGGTTTGTTTGCTTCATATCCTGAAGGGCCAGGTGATAAATTTGACAAATTCTGCTGTTCGCTTCAGAGGATACAGTTTTATGGTGTTCTGGTCTGGAAACTAAAAGTGCCTTATAGGGAAATTGAAAAAGGAAAGATAAAATGATACAACTTAATCAGAAGCTAAACCGAAGGGAAAAGTTGCTTTGAATATTAATTTGGCAGAAGGAAGTGTAAGACGGAATATTCTCTGAAACTGGAAAAAAGGTATTTTATATAGAATAAAACATCCAGTTATGAGAAGACCTGGGATAGATCTGTCGATATCTGAAAAACAGTCTTATAATTGCTAGCATTCTTTTAACTTGTCTCAGTACAGGATTTTTTCC